TTATTAATAATTTGCTAGAAGAAGCACGTCAGGTTAAACAATTTATTAACACAAAAAACACTACAATACTACTTTCGTATGCAGTAGTATTTTCCTTTGTGCAACATTTTTACACGTTTCCAGTAAATAATTCTAACGTAATTTTATGCGAAATAAAAGCTCCATAGATCGGTTGCAAAAAAACTGAGATCACATAGGAATTCCTTTTTCGCTTGATGATTTTAATAAGCTGAATCGAACGCACTGATATTCTCGAACGCTTTTAATCTGTTTACTTTTTTTAATTACATCTACTAATTTTTAATCGCATCTACTAATTTAATAAATGCATAAAATTCGCAGTCTACTTTTAAGATTAGCAGAAATTAAAATTATCACGTGAACATTGCAATTAAAATTTGTGTTAATGCTTTTGTTGCTTACTTCATTTTTCTTTTTTTGTCAACGCTATCAACGTTTCAGCGATAATTAACGTGCACGTTTCTGCTTGGCTTGTTTCAGATACTAATAAAATGCAAGACCAGCCGATGCCGCACTAACCAACCTAACACACGGATGCAAGCATTATGATAATTCTACCAATGACCCCACCGCATCGCCTTAAATTGTAAAAAAAACGTCGTGTCGAGAAGTCGCGCGCGGTGTTGAAGTCCTCGATTTTCCTTCCAAGCTGTTACACGTACAAACAAGCCACTAATATTTTCGTGGATCTTTGACCATTGTTCACGGTGCTCCGTGGAATCGTTTGATTTAGCCGTTCGCGGAGATAGAAAGCACCTCCGTGATTCAGGGTGAGCATGGAATCAATTTCAAATGTGTTACTTTTATTACCTCGTACGAGCAGTAGCTATGAGTCATGCGCGTTTCTTAAGCATCGGCTGATATTTTATAGAACTAGTGCAATATGCTCCGGAGAAATTTGTAAAAAATATTTCAAATTGTTTAGGAAAGTAATTAAATTCAGCGTTTTTTAAAATTGTATTCGCTATTTTGAAAATGATTTTCGCTTTTTTCCAAATCAAATTCTCCGCGTTTTCAAGTCAAATTCACTTTCCTCCAAATCAAATGCATCCCTTTGCAAGACAAATTCACCTTTTTGTGTATAAAAATTCACACTTTCCTTTCTTATCTATTGTAAATAAACTTGAAACTTTCGCAGATCAAAACTGGTCGTCCACCGTTCAATTATTCTTGTTTATTATTCAGTACAAATAATTATTGTCTATGAATATTCAACAATTCTTCAACAATTGTTGAATATATATGTTCAACATATATATATTCAATATATATATATTCAACAATTGTTGAAGAATTGTTGAATATTCATAGACAATAATTATTTGTACTGAATAATAAACAAGAATAA